TGGAGTTAGAAAACCAAAAGGGAAGAACATGCTCAGCATTTCTCAAGCTGAAAGAACTGAGGAAAAAATTTAAGCCTCGAGTTGCAATACTGAAAAATTCTATAGGCAAAATATTGAATGATGCAGGAAGCATCAAAAGAAGATGAAAGAAATACACAGAGTCAGTGTACCAAAAAGAACTGGTCGATTTTCATCCATTTCAGGAGGTGGCTATGTTCAAGAACCAATGGTGTTGAAAGAAGAAGTCGAAGTTGTACTGAAAGAATTGGTGAAGAACAAGGCTCCAGGAATTGATGGAATACCCATTGAGATGTTTCAACAAATGGATGCCCTGCTGGAGGCACTCACTCAGTTGTGCCAAGAGATTTGGAAGACAGCTAGCTGGCCAACTGACTGGAAGAGATCCATAATTGTACCGATTCCAAAAAAAAGGTGATCTCATGGAATGTGGAAATTATCAAAAAAATATCATTGATATCTCATGCAAGTAAAATCGTACTGAAGATAATTCAAAAATGGTTGCAGCAGTACATTGACAGAGAACTTCCATAAATGCAAGCTGGATTCAGAAGATGATGTGGAACAAGGGATATAATTGCTGATGTCAGATGGATCTTGGCTCAAAGCAAAGAATAGCAGAAAGATGTTTACTTGTGTTTTATTGACTATGCGAAAGCATTTGATTGTGTGGATCATAACAAATTGTGGATAACATTGAGAAGAATGGGAATTCCCAAACACTTGATTGTACTCATGAGGAACCTGTACGTAGAGCAGGAGGCTGCCATTCGAACAGAAAAAGGGAACACTACATGGTTTAAAATAAAGAAGGGAGTGCATCAGAGTTGTATCCTTTCACCATACTTATTCAGTCTGTATGCTGAGCAAATAATCCGAGAAGGTGGACTGTATGAAGAAGAATGTGACATCAGGATTGGAGGAAGAATCATTAACAACCTGCGATACGCTGATGACACAACTTTGCTTGCTGAAAGTGAGGATACCTTGAAGTACTTACTGATGAAGATTGAAGAATACAGTCTGCAGTATGGATTACATCTCAATATAAAGAAAACAAAAATTCCCACAACTGGTCCTATAAGCAACATTACGGTAAATGGAAAAAAAAGATTGATATTGTAAGACTTCACATTACTTGGTTCTACAGTCGATGCCAGTGGAAGCAGCAGTCAGGACATCAGACAACATATAGCACTGGACAGATCGGCTGCAAAGGACTTCTTTCAAGTGCTGAAGAGCAAAGATGTCTCCTTCAGGACTAAGGTGTGCCTGACACAAGCCATGGTATTTTTAATTGCCTCATAGGCGTGTAGGAACTGGACAATGAATAAGGAAGACCGAAGAAGAACTGATGCTTTTGAGCTGTGGTGTTGGTGAAGAATGCTGAAAGTACCATGGACTGCTAAAAGAACTGACAGGTCTGTTCTGGAGAAAAGTGCAGCCAGAATGCTCCTTGAAGGTGAGAGTGGCCAGACTTGTCTCACATACTTTGGTCATGTTGTCAGAAGGGACCATTCCCTGGAGAAGGATGTGATGTTTGGTAAAGTGGAGGGTCGATGAAAGAGAGGAAGCTCTCTACGAGATGGATTGACATGGTGGCAGCGGCGATGGACTCAAGTATAGCAAGAATCATGGAGCTGGCTCAGGACTGGGCGGTGTTTCGTTCTGCTATGGATAGGGTCGCTTTGAGTCTGAGATGATTCCATGGCACCTAACGACAACAACAATAACAAATCATAGCAACCCCTCCTTGGATTTCCAAGGCATATGTCTACGGAAGGAGATTGCCCAGTTTTAGGTACGCTTTACTTATGCTAACTCTGAATGTGGTAAAGCAAGTGAAATTAGGAATGGACCAAAGCTATTGTTTAACTATATTTGGGAGAAGACCAAGTACTTTTGATTATTAGATCTAAGCAAACTCCATGTCTTAGAGGAGATTGTTTCTTTCTTGACTGAAAAGTCAGAGTAGAAAATATCTGTGCTATGATAATAGATAAAAGAAACCATATGGTCTCAGTTGTGTTTAAAAAAATGAAAAAAATTGTGGAGTGTGATATTATGAGTGACTGTCTTCTGTCTTCCTGTGTTTCATATCCTTTTTGTAATTAACATATACCTTTTTAGAATCAGAAAAATAAACTAGTTTAAAAAAGTTATTGTGCATATTTGTTGTTGTTGTTGTTGTTATGTGCCTTCGAGTCGGACCC